ATATATATATATATATCTTTGAGTTTGAATTATATTAGTAAATAAATAATAAAAAAATATTTTATCATATTTAAATTTATTGAATGACATTGCGTGTACAAATGTATAATACATTTCAATATAAAGTGCTTTGTAAATATTTAATTTGATACAAATAATATTTATTTTTTTTACCTAATTTCATCATTAATAACATAATTAATAAAATAACCAATTAACATTAATCACATAAATAAATTCTTGTAATTATATTAATTTGAATAATATGCACCAAATTTACTTTCAAATGTTTTATAGTACTCATCTTACCATAATTTCTCTTATTATATATTATTTTTTATGTGAATTTTGTATAAAAATTCATAAAAAAAAACGTGATTTCAATGAATTTTTTTTCAGAATTTTATCTTCAAGCAATATTTTCGTTAATAATATAAAAAGTTTCTTACAAATTCATTATTTATGTGTAACTTTCTTGTGAATTAAAATTCACAAATAATTTTTTTGTAATTTTTGTTGTTGAATTTCTTGCAAATTTTAAAATCACAAGAAATTTTGTCATAACTATGAATCAAATCATCATTAAAATTTTTGTTGTCACTGTCTTTCAAATATTCACAATTAACTTATTCAAAGCATCAAAAATATGCTTCCACACTTTCAACATCTTATTCATAACATTTTGAACTCTTAGAATGTGAGTTATATGTTTAACTCAACCTTACAATATTAACTTGTAAATTAAGCGTTGCTCCCACTTATATATTTTTTAATTCTCTTAGCATTAACTGATGTGTGACTTTAAGTTTTTCTTAAATATTAATTAGATCACGTTCTTAGAAAAAAATCATTATATTTATAAAATTTACATATTTTATTTAATTATAATTAAAATTAATTACAATGATATGTTTGTAAGTAATTTTGTAAAATAACATTTTAATTAAAAACTTTTAATTTTTAAACTTATAAATTTAAATAACTTTTGTTAATTTTTCCTACAGATTAAAATTCAAAGAGAAATCTACAAAAAAAAAGTTACTTGCGAATTTTTTCTACCACTTATTATAATATTAATAAATATTACTTAAAAATTTATTTTCACAAAAAAATTAAACAAATAAAATAAATCTTATGACATTTTTTGAGAATTTTTACCATGAAAAAAAATTCTTTTATCACTAAAATCATAATAAAATTTGAAAAAATTTATTTTGGATTATTTTCCATAAAATAGTTTGTGAAAAAAATCCTACATATTATTTTTCACAAATAAATTCATAAAATAAAATTCATGAAATTATTATTGCAAGAAAATTTGTAAAAAAATTCTTGCAAATATTTTTTTTGAAAAAAATAACACTTTTCTAAAAATTCCATATCAATTAAACATGACTTTAAATAACATATCTTTAATTATGAATTATTGTAAATACTTACTTTAAATATAAACCAAATTTATTTGTTACCTAATTTTGTTATTAATAATGTAATAAATGGAGATGGTTAAGGGCCAAATTCCCTTCTTTCAAGTATAATTTATTTTCTTGGTCCAATTCTCCTGGTGTTTGCCTCTCTTAATATTGCACATTGGTTGTTAGCTTTCTGGGATACGAGAAGTTTGTTGATTATTAGCTAATTAAGTCGTTCTTTTTGTGAGCTTTTAGGTTAACGTGGATTAGATTAACTTTCTTTAGTTATTTTGTAAAATACTTTACGTATATAGGTTAGAGTACTCTTTGTACTCTTGTTAATTATATTTTGTTTATCAAAAAAAATATGTAATAAATGGAATAAACAATCGACATTAATTACATGAAAATAACATTCAAATTTTGAATTTAATTTTTTTTAGTAAAGGTAAATGTACTTTAAAATACATTTCACCTTGTGTTCATTTTACTTTTTAGGAAAGAAAGTATTTAGTCTTTCTAAATTTTACCCTTTTATAAATAGATACCGCAAAATTTGAGTTTATTCCAATTGATGTTTAAACTTTGTCATGTTAGCAAATAGATACTATAAACTTTAATTTTATTATAATTTATTCTTAAATTTTTACCATTTTTACAAATAAATACCTTATTTACAGTTGTATCTTAATTAATTATTTTTTCAAGTCACTTATATTACATTGTTATTAAATTACAAAGATAAAAAATATCAATCATGTATTTATTTTAAATCACACTTATTTATTATTATTTTTACATATATATTAGTTTTATTTTCATATATATTAAAATACCATATATTTTAGAAAGAAATTTTTATTTATTTATTGTTTTTATCATTTCTTCTCTATTTTTACTAAACTCGTATTTTTATTATATTTTGAAGAAAAAAAACAGTTATAATATAAAAAATAACGAATAATTGAATAATTGATATTTAAGATGGATAATTTAACTCTAAATTGAAAATATAAATATTTTATAAAAATAATAAATTATCAAATGTCAATATCAAATAAAATAAAATTAAAATTAAGGGTATTTATTTATAAAATAAATAAAATTTAAAGATTAATTAAAATAAAGTTCATGATATTTATTTACAAAAGGATTGATTAGGATAATATAAAAATTTATGATGCTTATTTGTAAAAGAAAATAATATTTAAGGTGATTAATTATTCTTTTCCCTACTTTTTTTTTATTTTTATTTTGCATTTATCGTCATACTACATATCAATAATATCATATTTAATATTTATTACTCATTTTTTATCTCTCTCCTCCATTCATCCCAAATTCATCCTCAACTACATTATTTGACTTCAACGATGAGATCCTTATCGCCTACGAGAAGCTCTAGTGAGGAAGCTACACGAACGAGATCCTTTCATTTTCCTCTTCCTTTACTGAAACCTTACCAGTCTTAGACATCAAAATCGTCCACACCTATCACAAAACCCCTGTGCTCAACGAGTGAGTCACATTGTCATTATAATAAGGAATAAACAATAATCATTGAAATTAAATTTAAGCAACTTCTATAAAAATAATTTTTAAATAATTCAAATAAAAATAAAAATAATAATTATTCACTTGTTCACCAACTTAAGTAGCCATCGCAGTAACATTTATTATTTATTTATTTATTTATTATTATTGTTTCCTTCTCTGGATACATTACATATAATTTATCACACTTTGTAATTTTTTTCTTACCCGTTCAATGTGTCAAATAGTACTTAACACTTGCGTATCTATGGGCTGATTTATTTTCTCTAGAGTGCTAACCAATAACTACGAACTGCAATTAAAATTCATTAAAAGTTATAAAATCATAACCAATACTCCTTAATTAACGATTGAAATCGATTAAACACTCACTTAAGTTCTCCAATTTTAAAAACACTATCTATTGTTCATTTCCATCAACATAATATTAATAATGCCATCTGAATGGACTAAAAAAAACCACATCAATAATTAATTCCATCAAACCGAGTTAAACATAACCAAAATGGAAATCTACTGGTTCCGAAAGTAAAACCAAAATAGAAACAGGTGGTAGAAGTAGAATAGAACCCACAGCTTGTAAAAGAAGGAGCAGATTGAAACTACCCGTTTTGCAATCGCTTTCTTTTGACTCCGCCCATTTTATTGTCTGCACTCTGCACCAATATTCATTCAATGCCACCACCTCAACTTTCTCTACTTAATTCTGGTGGTTTTCCGCTCATCTACCTCACCCACACTTCACACTTCTCTCTCGCTATTTATCTTAAATCTTAAATCAAACGCTCTTCACGTTTCCCTCATATACCCCTTTCTCGCGCACCACACTCTCCATCTCACCATGGAATGCTGCATAATCGCCAGACTCAAAGCGCAACCCCTCTGGTTCGCCGCGCTCTTCATCGTCGGTTTAGTAACCATTCTCAAACTGGCTTTGCTTCTCGTCAAATGGGTCTACGTCAATTTCCTCAGACCCCCCAAGAACCTCAAAAAGTACGGATCTTGGGCCCTCGTGACGGGCCCCACCGACGGCATTGGAAAAAGCTTCGCTTTTGAGCTCGCGCGCAAGGGTTTGAACCTCGTCCTCGTCGGTCGGAGCCCCGAGAAGCTGAAGAGCGTGTCGGATTCGATTTCGGCCAAGTTCGGGAAAATCGAGGTGAGGACCGTGGTGGTGGATTTCGCGGCGGATCTCGACGAGGGCGTGGCGAGGATCGGGGCGGCGATCGAGGGGTTGGATGTTGGGGTGTTGGTTAACAACGTGGGAGTGTCGTACCCTTATGCGAGATTCTTCCACGAGGTGGATGAGGGGTTGCTCAACAATTTGATTAAGGTTAATGTTGTGGGGACTACTAAGGTTACCCAGGTTGTGCTGCCTGGCATGCTCAAGAGGAAGAAGGGGGCCATTGTTAACATTGGCTCTGGAGCTGCTATTGTGATTCCCTCTGATCCTCTTTATGCTGTTTATGCTGCCACCAAAGCGTGAGTTTTTCATTTCATTCATTATTTGTGTTTCTGGATAAATTTCTCTAAAAGTACTAATAAGATGGGAAAATTTGAAGGATGAAGAAATAAGCTAACTCATAGAAGCTCTTTTGAACAAGCTTCTTCGGACTATTTTTTTAGTCTGAATTAATACAAGTTTAGTAGAACTTATGAGGAGTTTTCTTGGAGAAATAAAGAGTTTTTTTTTTTTTTTTTCAGGCAGAGGACGCCTCAAATTAAAATTACTTCTAACTTGTATCTAAGTAGACTTACCTATAAGTTAATTTTAGGTTATAGAGAAACTTTTGCCTGAAGTGTTTTTTAAGATGTCTATCTGAATATATCTTAATTGAATTATGTTTGAGATCTCGTTGTATATAAGTCGAGGGTAACTCTTACTTTGGGTGTTAGCTTTCGGGATTTAGGGTGGCTTAGTTTGAAATTCTTAAGGTGTTTCTCTTAGTATTATGTGTTGTGTGTTGAGGTTTTGAGTTCCTTGTTTCAGGTACATCGATCAATTTTCCAGATGTCTCTATGTTGAATACAAGAAGAGTGGGATTGACGTTCAGTGTCAGGTATTGTGATGTTTTTTGAGTCATGCATGCTAGCATCTTGCTTGCTTAGTAGTACTTTTTTGGGGTAAAAAGTTTTTTTTCCCCCTCTTTTTCTTAATTCCACCTCCCAAGTTTCAATCAATTAGTTTAGGTACTGATCTGTATAGACTGTATTTGAGCTGAAGAGCTCTAGTTTTAGGGTGATGAAAAGAAAGCATATGCTTTGGTAGAGTTGCCTTTCTAATTGTTATGGACTTTAGCGGGCTGGAACTGTTACTGTACTGTACAAGAAACTAATACGATTACGAATAACTAATTTGGTTAAGCACAAAGGTTTACGTTATAACTTTTTTTTCTTTTTTCTTTTCACTTACATAAACCATGGACAAAACCGAACGGAAAAGAATCCCTTTTTACTCTGTACTTTTTTTTAGTTGAGGCAGGTATAGATATAATAAATATAGCTTTAAGTTGAAGATATGTTATGATCTGTTTAATACTGATATTTTTGTACAACTTGTTTATATCCCTGTGTTTGTATATGATTGTAATTTCTTTTTTCAACCAACCGTTGGCAGTAGCAATTTCAAAAGCATTTTGAATACCACCGGCTCTTGTTTTTTTCTCTTTAGTCTATTTTGAAGTTTTGCTTTAATGTTACATTACATGGGTGGTATGGTGTGGCATCCGATTTTGGATTTTCTGGGTAACTGCTGCACTTTATTATTTATGTATATAGAGTGACATATGAGGATTCGTTTGAGGTACTGTAGGCTGTAGCTTCGATCATTGACTAGAGTTTTCGAAACATGAAAACATGATTGACGATCGATTCTAAATTTTAGGTGGAATGGTGGATACACAGTGCACTTCAATGTTCTTCATGGCCTTAGCTATTAGCCTATTACCTTTGCCCTTACTCAATCCTACGTTTTTTTCCTGCAACTTGAAAATTACCCACCTAAATAATTTGTGCACTTGAAATGCTAGTGACACTCACTTTCTAATACTGTCTTTATTATTGTTTGAAATCACAAATATTAATAGGTCTTACCATTAAATCAAGAAAGGGACTCATTAAATAAAATGTTGGGGCCACAAAATTTATGATTTCTAATAAATTTCAACTAATAATAATAGAGTATTAGGAAGTGAATGTTAGAGAGAGTATTGTTTTGTGCTTAAAAAGAGTTGACTATGTAGAAGTGGATTGATGGCTTCAGGTTTCCGAAGTGTAAGCTACATACTCTTTAATAGTACACTCTTTTTTATTAGTTAAAGCTTAAAATTCATTGAAAATTAAAAAATCAGGAGAGTCATTAAATAAGATATGGGGTCCACCAAATTTTTTCATCTAATAAAAAAGTGTGTTAGAGAGTGTTCTTAACATTATGCTTATTGCTTATAAGGTTGGTCATATTTGATACGTTTTTTATGTGATTTCTGATTGAGATTTTGCTGATGCAGGTTCCATTGTACGTGGCAACTAAGATGGCATCAATCAGGAGATCTTCATTCTTTGTGCCATCAACAGATGGGTATGCGAGAGCAGGTGTGAGATGGATAGGGTATGAGCCTCGTTGCACACCATACTGGCCACACACTCTTCTTTGGGCTGTGGCATACTCATTGCCTGAGTTTGTTGTTGATGCTTGGCGCCTGTGGTTTTGCTTGGGTATTAGAAAGAGGGGACAGCGCAAAGATGCCACCAAGAAGGAATAAGACTGAGACTATGCTTGGTTGGTTTTGCTGTGTAGGCAATAGATGCTACTCATCATTAGTTGATTAAGGATTCCAAGTACCTGCTATGTTCCTCATTTTCATCTTACTGTGGTTAGTGTCTTTTTGGTATCAGTTGTGTGGCCTATTCTTTTTAGTCACCCGTTTTGGGTGTTTAAGTTCACTGTTCTAGTACTGTGTTGGACTGATCATATATTGAAATATCTTTTAACTTGGTTTTCTCTGCTGTCATTCTTGCCTTTGAGGCTGCTCTATACATTTTATGGATTCGTGACGAAATAATAGTTGGTCAAAATAATAGATAGGAGCTTTTTATGTATAACTATTATAAAATATAAATATATTTAATAAAAAATAAATACATTTCTGGCACACTTTTTAGAATATATTATTTTACTTAGTTAATTTTTATTGAAAATTATAAATTGTACCTTAAATTCTATTTAATATTTTTTTTCGCAATTATGTAATTTAATTTTAACTAAAAAAATGTGTTAAGAAGATTTGCTATGATAAATGAAGTCATTGTAGTTCAAGTTTAAAGTTAAAATATTTGAAAATGTTTGATAAGTTAATTGAATAATATAAACAATATATTAATTATTTGATGATAATGTGAAGGAGAATGACCGGGTAGACAACAAAATTCTAAATTAAAAAAAGTAAAAAAAAATGATTTCAAGTAAATAAATGGAGATTAAAAAGAAAAGAGATAAGTATATAAATTATAAATTATTTCAATTATCTTGTGAAAAATAAGTTATAAGCTTTAAAATAAGTTATTTAACCGAATAAATTTATTTTAATTAAATTAACTTATAAGTTAATAAAAAAGTTTATAAATTCATTAGATGACTTACCAAACATACTTCTCATGAATAGTAAATGAAAATTTATAGTAATTATTGATCACTTTTAATCAATTTTTTTTATTCATAAGTATAATTTACGTAATATTTTAAAATTAATTATTAAGAATTAATTTATATTCGTAAGATATAACTTTTACTACAATAAGCATTAGATCTAATCAAATTTAATTGAACTAATTATATCAAAACGTATTTCTATTAACAAATACGTAGTTGCTGATCTCATTAGGTTTAATAAATTAAATCATATTCAATTATACATTCTTGACTTTTTTTACGTGTGTAATGTTGCATTGAGGTTCTACGTCTGGTTCAATATTTAATGATATTGAAACAAATAATTAAATTATTTTTAAGTTCAATATTATTTGTATCTATTAATTAAAATTAGTTTTATATTTTATTTTATTTTTGACCATTATATTAGTAGATTATATTATCTATGTAAGCATGAGCAAAATGTTACGAGAATAAATATTTTGGTCCCTTTTAATTATATAAAAAAATAAAGTTTAATTACATTTTTGTTGTTCAAGTTTTACAATTTTGGCACTTAATTTGTAATTATACACTTTGTTATTTAACATTTTAAATTTTGAATATTTTATCATTTAGATAATTGATTGCTAATATGAAATGTTAATCATATATCATAATATGTTATGCCATTATCTGTATGATATATTAATAATGAATGTGATGAATTAACCATTAATCAATGAAAAAATAACGTGTATCATAATTTAAAAGTTGAATTATAAAATTATTAAAATCGAAAAATATGAGTTAGAAAGGCTTAAATAACCCTAAATCATTTTTTAAGGGAAATAAGTCTAAATTATTAATAAATAAAAATAATATTGTACCATAATATAAATTATTTATCATAAATCTAAAATATAATTTATATATTTAAAAGTATCTATTCATATAAATTTAAATATGATCTATATATTCAAATATAATATTTATTTATATATTTTATTTATTATAAAATTTAATCCATATAATAAATATTTAGCTTATATATTACACAGATTAAAATATTAGTAGTAAAAATTACATTATCTTAAAATATAAATTATTTATTATAAATTTGAAATATATTTTTTTAAAAAATATTTATTTATTATAAAATGCATTATAATATAAACAAAACAAACAAATCGAAAACTAATTGAATTCTCTAAAAGTTTCAATCCCCATAAGATTAGTTTGAAGAAGGAATGTAAGTACGCCAATTTTGTCTAAGTTATTTGCACATTTAATACTCTTTCTATATAATTTTTTTTTATATATAAATGTTGAAAAGATAACAACCAATTTCGTTGTTAGAAGAAATCTAAACCTATATTATAATATATTTTATATATTTAAAAAATATTTATTTCTAATAAATTATAGCCATATAAAAATTATTTATTCAGTATATTACACAAGTTAAAATATTTGTTGTTAATTAAAATATGACATAATGGTTAATAAAATATTTTATAAAAAAATATTTAAATATTGATTATAATTATATAAATATTATCTTTATAATTTAAAAATAACATTATAAATAAAAATAATTTTATATACTCAGTTAACATTATAAATTTGTATAACTTTTAAAATTTGAAAAGGTAAATTAAAATTTATTTTATATTTAATTAATTTTTTTGAGAGGATTTAATTAATTTAATAAAGCAATGATTTTATATTTAAATATAATTTATATTTTATTTTATTTTTATCTTCTATCTTATCGCGTAAATAAATAAAGTTTTTAGGTACGACTTTGCTTCTTGGTACACGAATCCAACAACTTGTCTTACTTAAGTAAATGTATTCAAGTGGTAAACGAGTCTATTAGAGAAATCTGATTCTGTAATTTTTATTTCAATGTTGTGGGTTGGAGTATCCCTTGTAGTTCCTTTATTTTCAATTATTTAAATTATAAAAATAATAATAATAATAAATAAGATAGAAATTATCGTGCTCTTGTCTATTATTACTTATTAGTTTCATTATCATATCTTTGCTCGGATCATATTTTATCTTATATCATATTTTACTCATAATGAAAAGAAGGTTGACAAAAGAAAAAAGAAAAAAGAAAAAAAAAAGTTAACAATAAAAATAGATTAAAAGATATGTAAAAGTTAATATATATAATTATAAATAAGAGTGGAAGGAGGGAAGGGTATAACCTGAAGCAGAGGCGAAGTGGTGCCGTCTTGCCATAAACCCCAAGAATACCAATATGGCGACTCACAACACTAACGTTGTTTTCATAGACACCAGCCTCGATACGCACCTAGCCCTCGTCGTTTCAGACCTCGACACTGTCTCCGACCTCAAAAGTAATCCTCTTTTTTTCATCTCTTCTATTTTTATTCTCCAACAATGCTTCTATTCCTTTACACTTTATTATTATGCAGATCCTTCTTGTTAACGGTTTTTGTTCTTAATAGATTGGATTTCGTTATTTGTTCTTAATGTAACGCTATTGGTATATATCAATGCAGAGAGTATTCTGTCGGAACATCCCTTGTGCTTTCCGAAAATTGGGCAGATTCTGATTCATGGGATAAAGGTATGTTTATATGGTAATGTTCGAGTTATGGTCTTGTCTTGTTTTTGCTTGTAATTGATTATGATTTTATTTGAGGTAGGTTAAGCGCAGGGGCTACTTTTACCACCTTTCGGATTCCATGCTTGTGAGAAGTGCCTTTAGTGCTGGTTGTTCCAACAAGAGCTGGTTTCTCAGTGTTGATGCTGCTGTGTTGGGGGAGCGTGCTCAGAATGAGCATTTTGTTTATCATGGTTCTCCTAACCATGTGGCCACTCTTGGTATTGCAAATAATGCTTTGGTTGCTTCTCGTGATGATGCTAGGGGGTTTTCATCCAAGAGGGTGTCAGCCTTCGTTGATTCCGGGTTGATGCATTTGGAGAACAAAGCGATTGAGAATGGAGAAGTTCATGTTGCTAGTCCTTGTGCTTCGGAATATTCTGGAAAAAGAGCTGTTGAAAATTTGGATACTGGTGTTAAATCGACCGGTGATAATGACGCTGCAATTGGATTTCCTCGTTCTGTTTCTGAGGCTGAGGAGCATTGCGTTTTACGCGACATGGGAGGTTTAAATGTTGAATGTGATGTAGATGGACCTGTTAAAGGCATTGAGGGCGATCGTACTGTGTGTGAAAAAAATCCTTTGTTATCTGCGCCAAGTGTGAAGAGAAAACGAAAAAGTATGAGGAAAAAAGAAGACACAGTGCAAAATGATGATTCAAAAGACAATGCGTCTTTTGTAGACGATCCTCTTTGTTTCCCATCCAAGAAAGTGTCCACTTTTGACAATTCTCAGTTGCCGCAGTTGGAGAACAAACTAATTGAGAATGGAGAACTTCCTGTTGCTAGTCCATCTGTTTCAGAACATACTGGCAAAGGAGCTGTTGAAAATTTGGGTACAGGTGTCAAATTGTCTGGCAATAATGACGTTGCAAATGCATTTCCTCCTTCTGTTTCTGAGACAGAGAACCATTGCATTTTACACGAACATCCGAGTTTAAATATTGAAGGTCATGTAGATGGATCTGGTAAAGGCATTAAGGACAATCGTACTGTGTGTGAAGAAAATCCTTTGATATCTGCGCCAAGTGTGAAGAGAAAACGAAAGAGTAAGATGAAAAAAGAAGACACAGTGCAAAATGATGATTCAAAAGACAATGCGTCTTTTGTAGACGATCCTCTTTGTTTCCCATCCAAGAAAGTGTCCACTTTTGACAATTCTCAGTTGCCGCAGTTGGAGAACAAACTAATTGAGAATGGAGAACTTCCTGTTGCTAGTCCATCTGTTTCAGAACATACTGGCAAAGGAGCTGTTGAAAATTTGGATACAGGTGTTAAATTGTCTGGCAATAATGATGTTGCTAATGCATTTCCTTCTTCTGTTTCTGAGACAGATAACCATTGCATTGTACACGAACATCCGAGTTTAAATATTGAAGGTCATGTAGATGGATCTGGTAAAGGCATTGAGGACAATCGTACTGTGTGTGAAGAAAATCCTTTGATATCTGCACCAAGTGTGAAGAGAAAACGAAAGACTATGAGGAAAAAAGAAGACACAGTGCAAGATGATGATTCAAAAGGCAATGCTGCTTTTGTAGACAATCCTCTTAGTTTTCCATCCAAGAGGGTGTCCACTTTTGACAAGTCTCAGTTGCCACAATTGGAGAACAAACTAATTGAGAATGGAGAACTTCCTGTTGCTAGTCCATCTGTTTCAGAACATACTGGCAAAGGCGCTGTTGAAAATTTGGGTACAGGTGTTAAATTGTCTGGCGATAATGACGTTGCAAATGCATTTCCTTCTTCTGTATCAAATGTGAAGAAAAGACAGAAAAGGAAAAGGAAAAATGAAGACACAGTGCTAGGGGACGATTCAAAAGAAAATGATACTTATGTTGTTGGATCTGGTAACAGTACAATTCAGCAGG